CGACGTAGAGAGAGGGCACCAAGTAACGTGGACCAGAGGGGCTCTCAGAGGCCAACTGCCCCTCCCACCAGTGGTCATTGAGCTGCCGATAGAGCAGGATCTCAGCGCCTCGTCGGAAGGACAATTCTCGAGGACTGTTGCCGGTGAAGTCGGCCTGCGCGATGGCGATCGTGCCGTGCAAATCAGAGTCTAGCGGCGCCGCCGCAAAGAAAGCAAAAGGAGAGCGGGGATGGGTGGGTGGGTGGGTGGGTGCATTGGGGGTATTAGCAGGAGTGGAGGCGCCGCGGCGATGAAATGAAAGGCAAGTAACTGAACTGAAAGCAGAAGGATAGACGGGCTAAACAGGAGACAGGACTCACCTGTAGAAGCAAAATAATGAAAATTAAGCAGAGGTGGATTAAGGAGAGGAGGCGATTAAAGACATGCTCTAGGTTGGGTGAAAGCAAATAAGGAGGGAGGCGAGGTGATAGCATAAGTGCGCGCGTTTACGCGTCTGAATCAAATCGCGCCGACAAAAAACCCGCATGGGCAATTGACTTTAGACAAGAGTCCTTTTAAGAAACATTGTAATCCGCGTCAGGTTATTTAAAAACAAGAAAGTTTGTATGGGTCTTACCTAATGCAGATGAACCGCCAGCACGAAATTCGGAGCCCACAGCATCTCGGGGAGTGAAGCGACTAGAACAGTACTAATGGCTTGGAGTGGGTAACACTGTCTTAATGCAAGACGATGACAGTGTGGCAAGTGAGAGTCCATGAACGTCAACTACTGTTTCACATCTCGGAAGCACTCAAATGTCGGAATTCGGGTTTGCGATGCTGCTTACTAGACCACAGGCTAGCAAAACGCCAACCCATGTGAGCAAGTGTAAGTTGAGGCGATAAGGGCACCAGAAGGAATGGAGGTGTGCCGGCCAGAAGGTGATTGAAATTCTGACTTTTTAAGGCATTTTTTTAACTGAAAACGGTGCGATTCAGTGCTCAATAAGAGTTAGACTGGGCTGTAAGTTAAACACAAGCCGGAGTATTGTAGTCTTTAACGCAAAATGAAGGCTCCCTGCCTTCAACCAACTTTCAAATATGTTCTAAGACATAGCTATCATCAACGGACAGCCGTCTGGTTGGTTGATTTTGCAGCTGGGATTGATTTTATTCACCACCAGTCCCTGTGGCGGGTAGTTTTGTAGGTGGATCCGACGCGACACCTAGATCTCTACGGAGTTTCGTGCGTACCGTGCATCTCTCCATTGAGACAGTATCTAGGCTTGTGAATGTTGCATTGTGCGCGTGAAATAGGAACGAACACAGGAGTTATTTTACCCCAGCTGTTTAAGGTAAATGCTTCGAATGAATTACCTCGACATACTATCTATTGCCACATTTCGTATTCGATGCGATAACATCGCAAGGTAACCTCCAGATCATCCAAGAAAAATCACTGAGATTGTTTGGACACGTCCTTCGTCATGCACCTCACGAGCTCAGTATTGTAGCCCTCGATCCGGCGCCGTCACCGACTCGGAGGCGTAAAGTCAAAATCTGGCTGGACCCAGTTCGTCAACACGTGAAAGTGGTTCTTGAGCCTTCGGTATCCCTCGCTAACGAAGAGGATGGGTTGAACTATCCAGATCGGCTGCCACTCATCGTCATGAGTTTTCCATGACAACATCGAGGTCGGCAAAGGTATTTTAAGTAGTGCACCTCATATACCCCAGCATATAGCAGTTATTAAAGTATACTCATACGCCTTTTCTATTTCTCCATCCATAAAACCCCTATAACCACCCTTTCGGTAGGACGAAATTCAGGGACTAGGATGATATGAGGTGCACTACTCAAACTACCGTTGCCTCGAGGTCAAACGAGACTACACAGGCTCGCAGCTGCACCCAGGACAAGTCAGTAAAAGCTCCATCCTAAACACAAATATAAACTTTCGCAGTTACTTCTGGCAAAGGAATTAGTATGGGAAACTTATGAGATTCATTTGAGTGCTGTCGGCTCCAACCTAACAGTGGCAGTCACCTTAATGCGAGTGTCACATACCGCTATGACCACTTCGAGGGGAGCTATGCATCAGAACTGCCGAATGCTATCGTATGGCCTCGGACCTCGGCAGGCAGGCGCCTCTACAGTCACAACCACGAGCTCGTAGTCAAAGCCCTTAACTATCACATTTTTTATTTTAAATCCAGGAAAGGTGCGGGCGCGGCCTTCCTGAAGTAATCAGCAAAGTATGCTGTGAGCATAAAAACAACATTTGAAAGTGAGGGCGGATAGAAACAAGGGGTTTAGGGGGCGAAAACTGTATTAACTAGACAGTAGGGGGTGAAGACGCAGTCACGAGTCATAGAAGCAGCGCAAACTAAGAAGCCGGGGTGATCTTGGAGGAGGGCGGAGTGAGGTGGAAAATCGATAAAACTGCACGAGCCGGTGGGGAGAGGGCAGGTGGATGTTTGAAAAACCAAACAGGGAAAATACGCAGAGGTTCAACGGAATAGGGTGGTGGCGAGGGGGGGGGAATTTTGACAATATGTCCAGCGAAGAGTTTAGATCTGCCGACTGCGATAGGGCAGATGACGTTAGTGGTGGTTGGGAGGGCAGGGTGATGGCAATTTGGCACTGGAATCGCTCGCGATTCAGTAGGAGAGGGAGGAAGAAGAAGTTCAGTAATAGGGGGTCTAGTGACGGGGTTTGGGAGATGCGGTTGAAGAGCTTATAATATGTAAATCATCAGAACTGCCTAGATTGTTCAAGTGTGAGTCGAGGAACACGGTTAACCGGTTTAAGCACAAATTAAACGTGCAGGGCGTGTGGAGGGCGGGGGAGACAGAATAAAGAAATATAATTAGGTCACCTGTGAAAAAACGTCTTTTATATGAATACAAATGACTTTTCATGGAGGAGGAGGAGGAGGAGAAGGAGAGGAAATTTAAGCGCATCTTACGCGCATCGCACAGCCTGTCGTGTCACGCGTCTTCCTTCGTGTTCATGCGCCCCAGACAGTCTCTTTGATCTAACCAATCACACATTCAACAGGCACTCCCGCGCGCTGACACAAACGACGACAATTCCGTACCCATCACTTCGCTGCTCACACCCTTCCGTACGGTCGAAATGTTCACACGCAAGTAAATAGTCAATCCACAGCAACTTGCCTTGTGGACCCAATAAGTCGCTCCCAACAGTAGATGGCCTAATTCCCCTAGACGGAACAATGTTAGTGTTTGTGATAACAGTAGATCGCTCATCCTCGACCACAACAACTCCGCTGTCTAGAATCCTCACAAGCGGGCGTATAACTAACAAATCGCATCTTCGTCTTCTCAACTACATTCTGGGACTCGCACTTCGCTTGCATCGGCTACTGTACAGTGGCTTTCCTAGCTCATTAAAGCCCAATCGAAATCACCCAATTCAAACCAGTTTTATTAAGAAAAGGGTAGGCGAACGTCTTTGAACTCCCTAATGGTTACAATAACACGGCAAGAGAAATTTATAGGCATACAGGGAATTTTACAAACAATTAAAAAAATAAACCTACTGATAAAAGGGAGTAGCATGTTTTATAACGTGCACATCTCGAGGAATCTTGTTACAGTAGTCGCCGGTTATTAAGCCCACGGCTAATAAGCCCAGCCGC